CTCCTCCCCCTCCTCCTCCTCCTCCTCCTCCTCCTCCTCCTCCTCCTCCACCTCCTCATCCTACTTTTCTACTCCTTCCACTCACTGCTCCTACTCGCCCTCCGTCTCCTCCGTCCTCCTCCCCCGTCACCTCATCCATGGCTTCTTCTTTTTTCATCTTTTTCTTTTTCTTCGGCTATCCGCAGCTTCCAGCAGCGCGGCTAAGTAACGTTTGCGTCAGATCGTCGCTGCTGCCTCCATTATCTCATTGAACGCTCACTCGCTCATGTCCTCGTGTGACGTACATCCTCGTTTCTCTATCTACTTCCCGCTCTCCATTCCTCACATGCATGCACACGTACACGCGTGCGCATGCACGTGAAAACACAAAATATATCTATCCGCCTGTCTATCCTCCATATCTCCATTTCTCCATCTCTCCTGCCAACTTTGCTCCTCTACCGAGACGTACGTGCATGCATACGCGCTGACAAAATTATATTCTAGAGCAACGATTACGAGTACGAACGAGCGATTGTTTTGTAATACTTGCGGGATGTGCAAACGGGGCGGCATACGAGAGAAGTTCCGTAACTTCTTTACGAGATCTTCTTTTAAGGTACGGCCGCGTTTTCCTGGAAGGCTACGTCGTCGCCGGTTAGGCTAATCAAGCGGCGGTACCGTTAGCCGTGGAAATTCACGCGTTCTTCTCATTTTATAGAATTACTTGTGCCCGGAATTATGAATACAAATCGACTTTTTAGAAGCAACGGCCGTACTCGGAATACAAATCGAAAGGAGCACGATTGGAAGAACAAATTGCATGCCTGGGAAATAACAAATATACCGACCTGCTCTGTCAAACAAATTTCCATCAATCGATAAAGTCATTTTCACCTTCTCACCCACATTCACACCCGTCACGAACGGCCCAACTTTATTACTATTCGAGGCCCGCGGACAAATTACGTCAATCGTTAATATTTCACGCCTAGACGAAAAATCCTCTTCCCTCCATGAAAACAATCTTTTTCGTAGACTTTTACACGGACGCCGATAATAATCGTCTCACGTACAAATAAGCGATTAGCGCGCCAATTCAGCCGTAACCTTTCGAAGCTGCTCGACAATCCTCCGGCGTTGCTTCTCACTCAGTCGCAGCTTCTTTACGACAAAGTAGCAATCGCCTACTCGACTTCTCTTCCTACACCCTCCCCCCTCCATCCACCAATAACTCGCCGATCCTCCTCTCGTATCGTCCCCCGCCTAACCCATCCCATCCCATCCCATTGTGGCGCCGGCCTCGATAATCGAACAACGAGCAATTGGAGGAAGAGAAGGATCGAAGACTTGTGTCAGAGTGCGCGAGTTAGATTACGATTACGAAGCAGCCAGGGACTTTCACGTGCCGCGTGCTTTAAGCGGACTTGATTGGCAATAAAATCGACTTCTACGGCGAAATCAGAGCGCCACGAAAGCACGCTGCTTCGGAAGCTCAGTGGCGAGCCGCCGGTTTCCCATCCGGATCAGAACTCTGCAGCATTCGTCGTGTTTAATTAGCCAATGGGCTCCTCGGTTCCCGTCTAATTATTTGACAATGTTTTTTGGCCTTTTACGATCCTCCTCCTCGCCACACCACACCCCTCCCCCCGTCCTCCCATGAACGAAGCTTCGTCGACTCTTCGGGAGACGTCACTTTCCAGGTAATACATACGTGCTCGTAGGCACGGACGAGATAAGCGCTGGTTGATAATACTCGGAGAGTAATTTCATTTTACGTTATCATTTTTCTCTCCTCCTGTCGACTTTGGAGTGCAACTTCCTCGTGTGCATAGAGTAGTCGCTCATCGTGTCACGGGGATGCGATATGACCTCGTAAGCGAGTGGGGCAACCAAGTCGATCCTTGTTTGCCTGTGGCCGACGATGACGACGTCGAAGTGCGGCGTGGCGCGGTGAGGTGTGGTGAGGTGGGGTGGGGCGGGGCGGGGCTTGACGAGACGTGGCGAGGAGAGGAGCGCATGATGCGGCGACCGGGGGTCGGGGGACGGGAAGACAGTTCGACATTACCGCTCGAGGAGTAGTTGAGGGAAGGTGCGATCGATCATTTTCAGCCCGGCTCGGAATACCGAGTTTCTCAACTTTTGTGCACGCTCGACAAGGAGAACAAGAAGAATAAGAGAAGCTGAGCGAGGAGAGCAGGACGAGGGGTCGCCGCGGTAACGGGAGGAATTTGAATGTGAGAGGGGATGTCGATTGCCGGTGGTGTTGGTTGGGAGGGAGGAGAGGAGAGGAGAGGAGCGAAGAGGTGAGGAAAGGAGAGGAGAGAAGAGGAGAGGAGAGGAGAGGATATGAGAGGATATGAGAGGAGATGAGAGAGAGAGAGAGAGAGAGAGAGAGAGAGAGAGAGAGAAAATAAGAATAAAACAAACTCCTGAGAGGCATTATATATGTATTGATTCGTTGTCACTTCTGTCGAAACGAAACACTCGTGCGTAAAAGAGCTGCAATTTCCTTCCGAGCTCTCGGTTTTTAACTTTTATTACTCTTCTCATTCCGCGGATTCGTCAAGCATTTTAGCCGCAAAATAAGCCGAGACATCTGCCTCATGGGCCAATTGGCTTCAGCGATATCGGCAAAAAAATGAATTTCCGCTTGCGACTCGGCGACGCTCCGTACGCCTGGGAAAAGGACGACCTTATCGCTTAATGGATTTCGACTCGCGGCAGCGCTTCCTTGTGGGTCGCGCTTCTGCTCGCTTTCACGAAGCGACGTGCACAGACACGCGCGCGCATGCATGCGCGTACATTCGATGGGAGCATGTTGGAACGGCCCCGCGAAGTCCCAAGAGCGGAAGTGTCGCGTCGACGTCCACTATAATACGCCATGTAAATCTCCCGTGGCAGTCGAAGCGGATACTTCTTTCCTGTCTTATCGCTCGCCTTGTCCTTGTCCTTCTCTCCGTTTCTTGCGCGCGCGCGCGCCAATGTTGACCCCCGTGCCGAATATAATGGAAATCGCATCGCCGTCTTTTCATCGACTGGTGCTCGCTGTCGGCAGAACCTTAGCGCTCTTCGGTACGTTTCTTCGCTGCTGCTAAATTTTTTTTGTCCAGCCAAGAGCCCATTGAATCCAAACGACTAATACTTTACGGGCCCCAATCGACTTCCCGATTTGGGACTCTGTCAATATTTGAGGCTGGCCGTTGTTGGTGATGAGAGATCCCCCTCGCAAAATCAATGTTTCGGCTCATGTATGATGTGTGCGCCGTCGACTGCGCGTGAATTAGCGATAAGGATAATGACACGGGAGGGGGGGGGGCCAATTTTAATTTGTTCAAATTCAAGCGACGACATTAGAACATCACGATTTTATGATTTTATTTATACTCAGCTCTTTTGAGCTTTCGACTTACCACTACTATTACATTAAAAATACAAATTTACAGTTGGACCGCCGAATTTTACAAACCACGCACATGTCCTCACCTACGTATCCTACGCGCGCACGTACATGCATACAACCATACGTTGTATACGTTTATTATCAATCCCCCTTTAATAGATATTGCCTTTGACCTATTAATATACATTTTTGGCTTTTTCGGGGATAAATGTTTAGATAGATCTATCTACAACGCCCTACGAAATTATATCTCCACCCCAAAGTAATCAACATCTTACTTATTACCATAAATTTAAAAATGTAGCCGAATGTAGGAGATCGTGTGGCCAATGTGGGGCGACGACACTCAGCCACAAAAGACTCGACGAATTCATCGAATGAAACTTCATTTTTAAGGATTTTAACATTTGCGCGAGCGAGCCTTTCTCGAAACTGATCGGCCGTGGATAACGTGGTAAGAGGTCAACTCTTCTTTTTTTCCTCTTCTTTAACCCCCCCCCCCCTCCCCCCGCCCCTACACCCACCACGCAAACAAAAACGCCAAATAAACTCAAAAAAAAACAAAAAAAAAAAAAGGAAAAGGAAAACAACAACGAAATAATAAACAAGCGAAGTGTAAGAGGTGGAAGAAGGAGAATGAAAGAAACGGAAAAAAAGCAAAATTAATAATAAAGGAAAAGGGAAGAAATAAGAGAGGGATTAATAATTCTCGAGGAATTACATTATTCTTACCCAATGATTATCAAAGTACCTTCACATAACCATACACGCTACAACGATAATTGAAGATACGCGTTCTTGAATGTCGGAAGAAAGCCTGCCCAGCGGGTACTTGAGAGAACGTACGAATAACTTTGCCGCCCGAGCGGAGGCCGCGTAGCGTGTTAATTGCCGTTGTTTACCGAGTGCAAGTAACTTGTATATTTGGGCGACGTACGAGCCGTAGAGCTAAATGCCCTTCATTTTACTGTTGCAGATCGAACATAGAGAGGATCGATAGGGAGCGAGGACCGTCGCTCGTGTTATGAAATTACTGCCGAACATCCAGTTGCCGCAGTTACCGCCGGTCTCAGCGGCCAGCGGCATGACGGGCATGGACTCGCGGATCCCCCCGGGGATTTCGCTGCCCTTCAGCCCGACCGATCTTCTTTGGCGGTACGGACCGGCGATGACCTTCTCGCCCACGGCTCATCCACCGCCGAGTCCACTACTCGACTTTAAGACCCACCTGCCCACGACCCTCGGTAAGTAATCTTTATCGATCCTCCATGCCCCCTTGGCGCCTTACCTCCTTACCACCTCGCCTCGACGATCGTTCGGCCCCGTTTATGTTGAATTGGATTTACGCCTACGTATGGGCCATGTCCATTGATGCTAACCGCTCGTAGTCACCCCGTTCCCCTCCCATATTATATTACTCATCCATCCGGACCAAACCAGTGGATTGTTTAGCGAGGGATGTACCGAGGGCGACCTGTCGTACCGACCGTACGCTCAGTCGGATGCTCGGTTCGTCCACGCGCGTCGTCGCAACTGTTTCATCATTCCACCGGAGGACTTGACTTTCATCATAATGAGCGGCCATCAACAGCATTGACGTGCTTACATACCACCATCCCTACGTCCGCGCGCGCACACGCACTCACACACTCCCTCACTCACTCGCTCCCTCACTCACTCGCTCACTCACTCACTCACTCACTCACAATGTTCATTTGCTTCTCGCGACGATAAGTTACAAAGATTTCGTGTCGGCCGATCTCCGATATCGATTTTCGCTGGCATAGTAGATTTCTCGACCCATGCGCCCCTATTATGAAAATTATGCCCCTCCCAATGTATAAATTTTGCAAATTTTGTAACACACGCCAAGCTTAGCCAACGGCTTAACGACTCACCAAGGACCAAGGAATTTGGCCTTCGAGACCAGCGCCCTTTCCACACTATGTCACTCGCCACTCCAATTTAATACGCCTCTGTCTAATATAACATTGACTCCCCGCCGATATTAACAATCCGCCACCACCCGCCACCACCCTCCACCACCCGCCAATATTAACAATAGCAACTATATGATTGTCCATAGCCTCGGATCCGCGGCTTTGGTCCCGAGAGGACGTCGCAGCGTTCCTGCGCTGGGCCGAGCGCGAGTTCGACCTGCCGCAATTCGACATGGACATGTTCCAAATGAACGGCAAAGCCCTCTGCCTCCTCACCAAGTCCGACCTCGGCGAGCGTTGCCCCGGGGCCGGCGACGTTCTCCACAACGTCCTCGGTATGCTCGCCCGTGACTTCAATCAGCTGCAGCGCTGCCTACCGGGCTCGCCGGTCACGCCCACCCGAGCCACGGCCGCAGCCTACCCGCTGAGCCCCCACTCACATCCGCCAACGCCGACGTGGGTCGACAGCCCCTACGCGGCTAACCTCGCCTCCCTCATGTCGGCCAATTCGGTCACCCTCTCGCCGGCGCCCTCGGTCGACAGCCAGGCGGGCTCGCCCGGACACGCGAGCAACGACAACAACCAGGGACAGCTCTACAAGAGCGACTCCGACGAGGACAATCAGCAGGGGAGCGCGAGCCCGCCTGCCACACCGACGGCCCTCGCCGCCCAAAGGCTCAGCGAGGTCTGCGTGAAGGACCAGCCGAGTCCGACGCTCCCGCCCCAGATGATGCCTTTGACGCCCGGAGCGTTCAGGCCCGCGGGACAGCAGGCCATCGGCAACGCAGCCCGCGAGTTCTTCCCCAGCGACTCACCCGAGCCCAACACAAGTAAGTTCACGGTTCGGCCCGCCACCCACGCCCTCACCCCACCAAGACCCAACGACATTCTCAAGACATTATCGCATCTGTTCCTATATATATATATATATATATATATATATATATATATCTATCTATCTATCTATCTATCTATCTCCAGATGGCAGACTACTTTGGGACTTTCTGCAGCAGTTGCTCAACGATCCCTCGCAGCGCTACACACACTACATCGCGTGGAAGAGCAGGGAAACCGGGGTCTTCAAAATCGTCGACCCGCCGGGCTTGGCTCGGCTCTGGGGTATCCAGAAGAATCATCTCTCGATGAACTACGACAAGATGAGCAGGGCACTTCGTTACTACTACCGCGTCAATATACTCAGAAAAGTTCAGGGCGAACGCCATTGTTACCAGTGAGTAGTAGTGGTGTATACGAGTAACCGAGACCGAGTCGCGAAATCGTCGTCGCCGTCGGCTATCGTACGAGATTAACGATCCGATTAACAACACATCCAGCCGGGCAGGAATGGATTCCGAGTTAAGAGAATCATCGAAAGATTCCTTCATCAAAGGCTGCGTAATAATGGGCCACGTGCGAGAGGGAGTGAGCGAATGAGAGGGCGGGGTACACTGTCATTATTAATTGAAAAGAAATAAATTGTCAAGACTCGATCGAAGTGAGTGAGTGAGGTTGAGGGAGGGAGGTCGGATTCACGTGGAAAAGCCGGTCATATGGTATCATATTATCGTTGTTATCGTTGTTATCGTTGTTATCGTTGTTATCGTTGTTGTTGTTGTTGTTGTTGTTGTTTAGGATCGAATGTACGATGTCGTCGTCCGACTACCATCGCTTAACCTCCGGACGTGCATTACGACGAGCGTAAGAGCATAAGA